TTGATGTCATGATATGTAAATTAAAAATTGTTATTTTACGGTGATAATCTTGTTTTCTTGTGCCCAATAATGCATATTTTCATTTGATAAACACGTTTAGATTGAATGGTAATTTATAATCAGTCACAAGAACGTCGAATCTGAATCACTTGAAAAAAACACGGGGGTGCTTAACTTTTTTCCAGGTGTATATATGCATAAAGATCACATGCTTATGAAAACTAATTTTATTACAAGTTCCAAGCGGACATACCCAAATATCTCTTGATACCCTGTGTTATATACTTCTCGGATTGATTTTAGACTCTAATTTTTTTATTTACTAAAAAAAATTTTAATTATTGTCTTGAAAATAAACAACCGTAAAGGAGAACACATGATTACGGCGACATGATATTTTTATATGTGAAAAAGTAATGGGACAATCAGCTAATAACAAATTTACTAATTAATCACAATAAAAGCTTGAGTCATGCTTACATTTTTTGTATTTGTTATTGCTTTGAAATTAAATTTTTCTGCTGGCAAGATGCTACTTAACACCTCACCATTGTTTGCTGGACAAACTTAAAAACAATCCAAACATATATGTTTGGAAAGCTCTGTCCATCGTTTATCATTTAGAAATTATTATATGTTTGTTGTTTAAGATACGTACTCAGAGAAGTTTGCTCCAGAACACTGACGATATCAAAGTGGACACTTAAGAAAGCCTGGCTCATAAGTTTATATGAACATATTCTTTAACACTCATACGTGACTTTGTTATGCAGCCATACCATGTTCTTTTACCTTTATATATTAATGTTGACATTTTGAATTAAAGAAACGTATGGTATATTCTCAAAGTGAATGTAATCTCGACCACGAGGGAGTTTGTTGCCAGAAATTTTGAGTCCAGGAAAAGTGTTCTCTTGGATAGGACTTTTGCCGATGCTCAAAAAAGTCTCTGTCATCAATCATTCTACAACAGCTGACTCAAAATGATGAGCCAACAATAACATACCCAGAATGGCAGATCAGACATTGACCCTGAGGATCCAATCTCAGTGCAAGGAAAGCGACGAAGACTAAAAGTAGGCTAGTTGGAATGGCGAAGTATTTACAGGACTCCCGGGTGTTGCCAATCAGAGTAGCACAACCCCTAGCTTTATTCCAGACCATTTAAAGTTTAAACACAATAGCAGTTTTGGTATACTTTGATGCAGTGAAGAGTCAAGATATGGTGGAAATCGATAGTAAAATAACACATGTATAACAATGAGAAATATAAGCAATTTAACAAAAACTTTCATGACTTTCTTCAGTTTCTCTTTTAACTCCAGCTACTAAATTCATTTTATATGTTTATAGTGAATCATTATTTTGGGTTAAAAACTCAAATAGAGTCGACGCAGCGGGTTTTCAATTTGTGGTTTGCGGACCTCCTTCAGATGGTCCATAAAAAGGTTGTACAATTACGAAATGGAAGCATGATTTATAGTTCCCACTGTGTTCTACAGAGATAAAAAAATCAGTTATGCCTTAACAAAAACGTTTAAGAATCACCGAGTTACGGCAGTTGTAAGCCTATTGAAGCTTATGTAGGGGGCAAATTTGGTATTGGTTTCATATTAAAAAATAAAGCTTGTAAATAACACCCTTCATCTATTAGTTGTATTCTCTCTTACGGAATGGGCGAGAGGTTATTGACACCCTTTGATTTTATACCTTCCTTCTTACCGTGGAAATATTTAACCAAATTACATAAAACTTTGTAAAAACTTACTGAATAATAATTAACTTCGGCTTTAAAAAATATGATTTGACGTACTTTTTACACTGTTTCATATATTATGAAATTTCCAAACTTTAGTTGTAACTGTTTTGAAAATGGAATTAAAATACTTTCTTTAGTCTTATAATTTAATTATTTTTCAGAAAGTTACTATATTCATTAATATATATATATTTTCTTTCTTTTTAAGCTACTTTCCCGATTACAGTAGTCCCCACTTCCGGATATATATATCATTAAAAATAGGAAGAAACTTTCAGATTTACCAGTGACTTACGTCTTGATCTGTCTCGATGGAGTCAGGCCAGGCTAGGTAATATTACTTTCGCAAACAATATTTTTCTCGAATATAAATTTATATCTAATAAATATAGTTTCTTTTCAATAAATAGTAAGTTATATTATTTGTCTACGTTGTTTAAATGCAACTGATTTAAAAATATTTAATAAATAAGAGATTTGAGTTATAACAATGGCTGGAGATGGCTTGAATGGGTAATGAAGAAAAACTTTAATACAAGTTTAACATAACAGCAAATGTACAAAGTTTTTCTTCATTATCCATTCAAGCCGTCTCCAGCCATTATTAGTCTCAAAGTGGGTTCCTCGTCATCGAATTTGAGTTATATTTGAATCATGAAAACATTTTCCCGTTGTCTACCATATTCACTAGATTTACCTGATGTCTTATCACTGAAGAAAAATTCCGTAGCTTTCAAAAAATATAATAATAAAAAAATATAATATAACGTTTAATGAAACTATGAGAGTCTCTCAGAGTTGTTGCTTGTTCCTAAGCCTTCCTATGCTTTGGAAAGTTAAAAATAAAAAACATTAAGAGTGTTGCTCACAGTTGATACTCTATGGAGCTGTGCTGAAAAGTTTGAACACGTGTTTCATTTTTCATTGTGAATTACACAATAAATTATATGAAATATCAACTGTAAAATATGTTTGAATAAAAAAAAATTGTTGAAACCGAATTCGATATGCAAGTGTGCACTAGACACTTGAATAGTGCTCACCAGTTCGGATGGGTTGTATGAGGTAGTTCAACATAAGTGCATGATTAAAGAAAATTACTTTTTTACTTCTTTGTACTCACTTTATAAATGTTGTTTCCCTAAAAAGTGCACTTCTTTCGCATCATACACGAGTAGTACTTAATAGTATATAACCGTTAAATGTCCAAGTTATGTTAAATTATTGTCTTGTAAGTTGTAGAATTCACTTTGTGTTCACAATGGTAAAATCTTTTAGGAAACGATGTTGTAGCTGACTGTGATTGTTGTAAGAAGTAAAAGCATTGAAAAATCGTTGAAATATCTTTGTTGTTGTTAACGCGTTTCATCAGCTGAACATTAAATACTTCAAGCAATAAAGAACAGATGGAAAACCATTAGTATAAACATTTTATAAACTGGCTACATAAATCATACACTACCAGTATAAATAGTCAGAATAGTACTATCTTTCTGGTTTTTATTATGTGTTCTAATGGTTAAAAATATTAATATTATAGAATTTGTTGTGGAAATACTTTTCAAGATATCAGTTTTGAGATATTGTCTAGAAGGTGGACAGCAAATAAAACCAATATAACCACTATATAACTTTTGGTTAATTAAATTAGTTTGTTTAAAATAAACAAGGTTTAACTAATGTCTATGAATGAATTAAATATTTTGAACTACCCACAGACTTTTGTATAAAAATGTTTTTGTAGATTAGTTTTATTTTTCACTGTAAATGTTTTCCAGTAAATAATCATTATGTCAATTTGTTTTTACATTGTCTGAAGTTGACTAAGCAGACCTCTCAAAACCAATCCTTTCCTTTCAGTATTTAATTTTATCAGCAATCATAACACTGTCAAATAGCAGGTACAAATATTTCCACTTCTAATATTTGTAATTTATAAGGGCATGGTTAGGTTATTTATATTAATAGACAACAGGTTTTACCAATAATTCAAGAACAGTACATTTACAACACATTGGAGATACAAGATAAAAGAAACTGCTGGTTTAGGTAGAATTAACTGAGCACTTCAGGTAAACTGACAACTAACACTTAGCATAACTGATAACATAAAACTTCAGATAAGGCATTCTGTTGTATTAAAAATAGGATAGGTTTCAATTGTATGTATGTAAGACATTCTACCAAATGTTCATGATGAAGCACACAACACTGCCTACATACAGCACATGCTTGATCTATAAATAGCACACAACACTGCCCAAATACAACACATGCTTGTTTCTATAAATACTAACAAGAAAGAAGGTGAAATGTCAGTTTTACCAATGTTAAACACATGTACTGTTCAAAGTTAAAAAAACATACTTAACTTTTCTGTTGTCAATGTACATAACAAAAAACTATTTATTTACCTATTAATTGTTTTATTTTACTTATTTAATTGAAGCTAAATATTCGTTGAAACATAACAAATATTACACACTTACTGATAATTTATTCTTACTTTTAACTCAGCCTATAAGACTTGATAAAACAGAGCTGACTACCCATAAGAAAAAGAAATAACTAGGTACAACTCAGTACCATAAACATATATATATATATAAATTTGTATTCATTATTCAGTGAAATTTCTAATTCATAGGAATAATATGAATTATAAAATACACATACGAATTTCATGAGCTTCAAATTTAAACACTTTGTTTCCATCAGTCTACTTTTGCTAATAGCAAATTAACAATTTTCCAGTATATATTCTAAACATTTTCCTTGATGAATACTAGAATCATATCTAATCTTAAACATCAACAATGAGTCAATTTGAATCAGCTGATTCTTCTTCTGCTTCTTTTAGCCATGTGAAAAATGGCACCACAGACTTCAGTGCAACTCCCCTCCCTTCCTGTTCTGCAGGATCTGAACTCTGTTCCCACCTAATATAAGCCTCATCAGAGATTATATCTAAGTCGTAGAAGATGTTGAACATATCCAGCAGCAATCCTATTCAAAATAAATAAGTCTCTGTATATTCTAATTTAAATTGTTAATTGCAATTGTAAACAATAATTGTGGTAACAGATAATTAGTGTAGTCCAGTAAATCATACCTGTATTATTTATCTAATAGACACTCATACTAATGTTCTTATGTTGATATTTTTTCTCCCCAAACAAGGTTTTGTCTTTAATGCACTGTTTACACTTGGGCATAAAAAAAAAACAGAACTTATAAAATAAATACTACTATCAAATGTAAAAGCATTCAGTATAAATTTTATTTATTCTACAAATAAAGGCCAACTTCAACAAAAACCACCCAAACAAGTTTACTAATGAAGTAATATATAAACTTAGAAACACAAAAACCACCCAAACAAGTTTACTAATGAAGTAACATATATAAACTTAGAAACACAAAAAACACCCAAACAAATTTACTAATGAAGTAACATATAAACTTAGAAACACAAAAATCACCCACACAAATTTACTAATGAAGTAACATATAAACTTAGAAACAAATTTTGCAGACAGATAATACTAACTAAAGATTTCCAAACACTCGTACCTTTAGGATGTTCAAGTCTATTAACTAAAGCCTGCAGACCATAGAGAGCTTGAAGTTCTAAATCTTCTTTATTATCCAAGTATTTCTTAAATATTGACAATCTGTCCGAGACAGCAGAATTGTTAAATCTACAATTGTTTCCCTCTCCTAGAAAAAAAGCAAAACTTGGTTACCTCCGAAATTCTATCAAGTTTTTTTTAAAAAAGCCAGTTGTACATTTATATTTCAACAAAAATTACACTTTGAGAATGTTTTCAGCATAACAAAGTCATTAAGTGTCTATTTGTAAAATGAATCAAATTTGCATATATGATCATTATACATTAGTTTTTTGTTTTTCAAAACGAGTAAAAGAAAATAACCAAGTTGTTTCAAAATCAATAAAATTGGTGTTATATAAATGAGAAGTTATTTCCATGGTTTGTACATTCATCACAGTAACTTTATTCTACAACTTTAAATAAAATTTTGTTGTACTTAAAAAAAATTGTATGAAAGTTTAGGAACTTTAATGCAAAACACTGAAAGAACAACCTAGTACATATAAAATGAATAAAAGTTAACCCTCCCCATGTTCTGTTTATTACTGAAAGATTTAAGCTGCCTTTTACAATGTGGCATAAGAAAAATTTTTGACAAACTGTTTAAAAACAAATTACATATTATTTCACTGTAACAAAAGCTACCATTTCCAGTAAATTTTCATGTCAAATCATCTGCAAAAAAAAACAATTATATTGCACAGTGCAACAATTCCATGGAAGAAGTACATATTATAAAAAGGAGTAGTTAGTCCATATCTCTTCTAGATTCAGTTGTCTTTTCCAATTCCTCTATGTGTATCCACATTGGTTGTTGTTAATTGTTAAATGGAAGTGTTTAAATTTTTAACATCAACTGGAAATTTTTTTACTGTTTTTGGCATTAAACTGTTAAATTCATACAATTTTAAAGTTTTTAGGAAAAAATCACTTACATAACAATGTTTTAAAATAAACACCATATTAATCTAGTTGATACTGCTACATAACACATGAAGTCTGTTTTCTTCATGTACAATTTATACATATACTTACTTTTTATAGGTAAGTTATACATCTTCAAAGTTTTTATTCAATGCTAAATTCTTAGTTTTACTACACCAAAATTGCTATCAATTTATGTTATGTTTTTCCATCAAACTCACCCTCTATTGCACTCTCTACAACAGCAGTAGTCAAGGCACGAATGAACTGAGAATTTTTGCATCTTTCTTCTCCCACATGAACCTATAGCAAAAGAAAGATTTATACAATATAGTGTATCTCCTTTATGAAGACTAAATCATCATTTTCAGAAAACAGGAAACCTTGTATGTTAATAATTCCTTTATATTTCAATGTGGCCTATTAGTTTTCTTGCAATGATAACATATCCCACGTTTAAATCATATTTAAAGCATTAATTGTTTTGAATAATTTCATTTGCTGTCAAGATTGCTGATGTATGTACCAGTCATTTCAGGATATGAGGATTACAAGTAAAATCATGAACCAGTTATTAATAATTTTCTTTGATCTGAAAGAAAAAAACTAATAACAATAACAACACAAAGAAATAAAATAATATTAGTAATATACATCACAAAACTGTATTTAAAGTCCTGATTATCTCTTAAATGCAGAATGTTGTTTGTCCCTTAAATAGTTTGTAATAGGAACCAAAATGTCAATTCAACTATCCCTCTTTAAACTGATCACTGTATAAATTATAACTGACCAGGTGTAAGCTGACAGGCTGTTTTTATTGACAACTATTCATTCATGATGGTTAAATTTATGACACTCATTATATAATAATGTTGCTGTTTGATTTACATTCCTCTCATTTAATAACAGATTTTAGATAATAAATGAAGAACTTAAGCTAGAAATGTTTAGTTATTTTTGATGTGTTTATGCGAAGGTGAAATTAAGAAAATTCTGAAATGTCTGTGCTCTTTATCCTATCAACAATTTTATGCTATTAGATTTCTGCCAAACAAGTTTTGAGCTTCTTTTACATAAACAATATCATTTTGACAAGTCACATGAAACCTCTTTGTTTGGAGACAGAAGTACATAGTTCAAAGCCTGTTACTGATATGTGATGCCAAGACAGCATATTTTCTGTTTTACAAGTCACATTTTCTACAGATTGTTTTCTGTGAAAGTGAGATATACACAATGGTATGGAATATGGTCAATAAAAACAGGAAATGTAGAAGTCATGAAATCAGGCTTTCAAGGACTTTGCCAGGACTTTGTGATAAAAAAAAACATTGATTTTCCAGAATATTTTCAATATTAAAACATTTGTTTAGAAAATTCCATGACCTTCCAAGACTTTCATGACAAATTAAAAATTCACATCATTTCATCCACTACCTGGCTATCATTGGTGAATTTATCTTAAAGCCTTTTAAACACTTCTCACTAGAAACTGTTATTGTGTTTATTCTGTAATAAATGAATGCCCCCTCTCAGCAAGAGGGGGGGATAAGTGTAACGATAAACATTTATTTCACAATTCAATTTTGTCAAATGGAATTGTTGATTTTGAGATGCAAGTTTTCATTATGAAACATAATAATTCACAGGAATATAATCCATTTTCTGACAGAAATAAAACAGTGACAGCTAGAATAATACCAACAAGACATAAAATAATAAACTATGGCTCAGTTCAAAACAGAGTATTTGCACAGCCTTGAAACAAAATCAAAGCATAATGCACTTATACAAATATTAATTTAATACTGTAGTATAATTTTTAAAAGAATACTTACAGTCACTTAAGGTTTGTAGAGATGTAAGAATAAGATACTAAAATAAACAGTTTGATAAAATATAATTACATTCATATACTCTGTTGATTAAAGTAGCAAACATATTCATATCTGCTACAGTATTAAAACTGTCACATCATAGACACAAACAATAATCAGCAGAAGTAAAGCATACAAGCATAATAACAACAATAAAGTTCAATTTTCACCTCAATCCAATCAAGGATTTCTTCATTGCTAGCTTTTTGCTTTTGTAATAAAAAGTCAAGTTTTTTCTTAATCTGTTCTATAGAAAGTTGAGCATCAGGAAGTGGTTCTGTTTCACTAACTGTAAATTGTAATTTCTGAAAAAATAAAATCATGCTTAATTATTACAATTGACAACAAGGAAAGAAATGTATTATCAAGTAAATTGATAACACTGAAAATATAAATATTTTAAGAAATATTTTGTTCAGCTTTATCAAACTTTTACAGTAAATCATTCAATTCAAAAGAAGATATGTTTAACAGGCTTCTTTTGGTTCAGAAGTTCTGTACTAAAACTTCTACTTTGATAATTTTTATATTCAATTATCAAAACAGTTTGCATGCTATATAGTTTTATAGATGGTTTGAATGAGACACAGAAGTTGTTTGTTGCAATGATTCCTAGTGAAATTTTACAAGATGAATTATCCCTTGATACAGAAAAGGATATATTTCCATAATGTTACTATGCCCTATCAAAAAAGCAAACAAGAATTTAGAAAAACAAAAACGTTTGAATTACACCAAAAAATAATTTATTGCTTGATTTTAATACATTTAATGTAAGAATAACATACATTTTCTTCTATAAACTTTTCTACATTCTGTTTACATGACAGACACTCTGTCCATTGAAGGCCAGACTTCTTCCACAGCTCTCCAGTTTTAATAGAACCCTAAGAGAAAAAAAGATTAGTTTTGTATGTTCAGCATATTATTTGTATGGAAAAAGATAAAGTAGTGAGAGCAACATAATTTCATAAACATTATTGATTAAATTAATAAGATAATAAGAATTGCTATCCAACAGTTTTCTGAGCACTATGGGCATTTCCTCCATATATATATATATATATATATATGTGCATACATTAATAATAAACACAATGAAGACAAAAAAAAATAATGTTCTGGAAGCTTTTCTGCATGTTAGTGTATTGAATATTCAAAAGACCAGAAACTCATCGACCAAGCTCAGCTTTTTCAATAATGTTACAATTTTGTAGTTTGATGCAAAAAACATAACATGGCAGCTGTTGAAATATGTGTAATCAGCAAGTTTTAAAAACTCTCTAGTGGGGTGTACTGCAGGAGGCAAGGTTTTTCATTTTAAAGAGGCATATCTCACTCTGAAATTCATTTATGCATGCTACTTGAAAAACTGCACACACTTTAAGATAAAATGTTTTATTATTAAGCATACTAACTTCTCTTTCTTATTCCTCTTTTTTTTTTTAACAAATGTGCTTGGATTACATGTTTTATCTTTCATGAATATATACCAATTGAAAAAGCTGAACAAATACAAGAATCATCACATACAAATAGACATTGAGAAAATAAATTCATTAAAGATAATCAACACTTATAATCATAGTCATCAAGTACAAAAACTAATAATAAAATACATTCCCTTTAAGTATTAGAAGACGTATATCAAACAGATATACATAAAAGCAATGAGTGAATTATTTTTTGGGTTTCCCCAGTGATCACTCATCATAGGCCAATATCTAAATAAAGGGAAATCTGAAAATGATTAATTTTGATCAAATACAGTGAAACCTCATTGATCCAAACACATTTGAAATGAAGTAGTTCCTTCTAATGAGCAAAACATCTGGATATTTGAATCATTCACTATGAATATAATGAATACTCTTTTAATAGCATGCCTTAGTGATCAGTAAATGTAAGGGTCAGCATGCAACTGGTAAACAAAGATCAACTGTATGTACAGTAAACTTAGCATTTTATTATTTTATATGTAGTGATACTATACAAAATGCATAAACAATATGGCATATAATGTCATTATCTTCACACAATCACCACTTTGCTTAAATCAATGAGTTACTTATAAAATACAAAATACATAGTATATGTATTGCTTTCTTGTATAAACAAACAACACATTTTAATAATGCTGATATTCTTCAACATCTTTGTTTTGGAGCACCATGATTTGGCACAACTATAATTTAAGTCACTTTGACAACCTCTTGATATCTCTTATAGTTTATATGTACATCCATACTGTAAAAGTTTTTCTCAGAAAATTGCCTTAAATGGGTACCCACTGCAAGTGTTCGGTGTTTTATAGTTTGTAATTATCACCTTGTTTCCTGTTATTACTCACCCTTACTTGACTATCTTGTAATCAGGTATCTATTACTGAACATGTATTCATATGAAATTCATGTTTGTTATAAGAAATACCTGTTTGGGGTTGGAATGCAAATATATGGACTATTGATTAAATTTCCTGTTTTGAAGATCTTTATACATGAACAATCATCCAGATTGTGAATCATGTAGATTTTCATTGTCCAGACTAACCAGTGTTCACTGTATAGATTACATTCATGATAGAACAGCAACAAATTTATCATACTATACTATATATGGTTTATTAATTTATTGAAATTTTCCATCAATATTCAAGAATGAAATTCCTGGAGGGTTTGGGGGGGACAAGACTATATATCTTGAAAATGCTCTAATTAAAGGACTGTTTCATTTATATAAATATAGCACAGCAATTTAAAATCTAAAACACACATATGGTATTATTTCACACTTAAAAGTAAAAATCTGATTGCTTTTCTTTTACATATTACTATTCCAAATATATATATATGGGCAATGGCTGATTTTATAGTTCACTTACTAATTTTCCAGCAGCAGCATGTAATACAGCTGACAGAAGTTTACCAGCTGTTCCACTAGCTACACAAGGCTCAGCTGCTTCTTTGAGGAAGCTCAATGGAATACTACCATCTTGAATCATTGGACCTATAAGTTCTCCCAGATACTCCCATATTCTTGGTATATCTATGGCATAGTCATCTGCATTTTCTAATATCGACTTGAGCCTATAAAATCACATATATCCCCTTTATTTAATAAGCCATCAGAAGGTGAAGCAACTAAATATATTGTTAATACCAAACAGATTTGTAAGGTAATTACATACTATTTGAAAAATATTGTTATTCATAGCACTCAGCAATAAAAATAGTTCATGTAAAATTAAAAAATATCCTACTTAAAACAAAAGAAATTTAATTTCCAAATTTTAATAATACTTCAGATTCTAAGTTGTGTGGTGATAATTTCTATTGCAGTCATAATAGTGTTCATGTTCTGTGTAAATGGTTGGATGTATCCAGCATGAATTACATTTCGACTTTAAAAAGTTTTCTAACAATAAAAATTATCTATATATAATAGCCAAATGTATGTCTGTCACACTCTGCATCTCCTGAACAGTCAATCATAGATAAAAGCTTATGTATCAAAATGCATATTTTCAAATGTACATTACAAAAAATTACTCATTTCTTTAAATTCCTAAAATTTCATATTAATATCAACATCGATTCATCAGTCTTCGTATTTGCTGTATAGTCAATCTGAGAAAAAATTCATTAAGAACAAAAATAATTCATGTGAGAGAATTACACACAAAAAAATGGGACTTTCTTAATCGACTGATTGAAAGAAATGTTTTGAAGATTGGGGCAAGAATGGAAAAAATGCAGAGAGAGAGGAACATATTTGAGTATATATGATATATTTTATTTTCCATGTCGATTAAATTCATTTGAATATTTCCTCTTTGACACTCCTTATAGAAATGATAACTCTCAAAAAGTGCTCACTTCCATAGTGGTCTTTTCTTACACTCAGTCAAATGACAAGAAAAGGTGATATCCGGCAGAAAAAATCCCAGCAGCTATTTAGCAAACCTGAGTACTTTTAACATGCTGAATGCAACCATTGCACTGAAAAACTACAGATTTTTGCCAACAATGAATTGTATACAGTCACTCTTGCTTAAAAACAAATACAATGCAATTTTCATTATTGAAATAACACAAGAAATGACAAAAGATGGTTGTAAATGGCCCAGTAGACAATCATCATGTTACATATACACTGATGCAAGGGATTGGATTGACTGCACATTACATATTTATTCATCACAACTTTTAAGAAAATTACTGTTGAGTTGTTTTAATGGACATCTGCTAGTTAACAATAATGGAAGATTAAGTTCACAAATACAGGATTTTTGAACTGTAACCTGATAAAGCAATAATTGTGCCTAAACTACGAGAACATTCAGATTGTTGGAATATTAACAGTCATGTATGAGCAGATTTTACTGCTTAAAAATATGGAAATCAAAAATGTCCTTGAGTAACTAGTGCATATTCAAAATGATTCACATTATTAAATGAAATCAGAAGAGATGTGATTCAAATTTCCAATGTAAAATCACTGAATATTGTGGGGAATACTACTACAACTTCTTCTAGATAGCAAATCTTATAAATTAAGGCATACACATCATTATTGATAACATCTGATTTGCACCATTAAAACTCATTGGTCTTTCATCAAACTCTGCAATATTATTACATACTTTTCACATATACTTGTGCATTAATCTGAAACAAATGTACATCAAGAATTAGTGTACTACTCTAGGGTGACTAAGCGTTTAACCATATTTTCATAAATTCCTTCATATGAACTGTAAAAAAGCAAAAATGATTTACAAAATTATTAGATTTGCAACTAATCCTGTTATAATAAAAATAGTTGAAAATGTGATGAGAAAATATTCCTTACCCCTTTATATACATCTCTGCAGGTATAATATTACTACGAACCAAATCATGAAGGAACTGGCCAACCAAGAGACGAGCCTGACTAGAGCGCTCCAACACCTGGTTGATGGCAGCAGAAATAAAGTAACTGACAGTTGTGGGTGATGTTAGTTCAATAAAACAATGTGTTGCTTCCTGCAGTAGGGAAAAAAATTACAGTCAATTTCTTTCCTTTAACTGGAAAAGTTAAAGCATTTTTATTTTCCTAATATTTTATAAATCAATAAGTACCCATGATCTTTACATTTAAAGGTAATTTTTTTTATTTCAACTATTACAAAAAATCACCAACAAAAATGTATAAATGTATCTTAATATGATATGTTACTCTGAATTCATTAAATAACCATTAAAAACACGTACACGTAAGAACTTTATGAAAATCAAGTAGAAAAACGGCACTGCTTTGTTTAGTTTTGTTTGGTAGGAATAATGGAATCTGTTTCTTTCTCAGTAAGTTAAACCGACTTTAACAACAAAGTATACAATCCATCAGTGTCAAGAATAACACTAGTTTTATCAGTGAATTAATTAATATATGAGGTAATATGCATTTCCTTATTTAAAAAACATTCAAACTGTAAAATGTCAAAATACAAATGTATAATGCTTGAAGTTATAATATTTGTATGGGATATTTCCTCAAGTGTTGTAAATAAAACTTGAAAACAAAAAGTTTATTTTGAAACTGCTTATTTATAACACAAAGTAATTTCCCAATGAAATAAAAGCAACACTGTCATGCATAATCAGTAATAATCCGTGTAGAACCCACTGTCTTTCATGATAAATGATGTTATATGTGAATCACATTGATTTCTACAAGATACCAAAACATTATGTCCTTTATCTGTTACAGATAGTTAGTTACGTTTTAGTTGTTTTACTTACTAAAAAGAAGCCATAATTTTCTTTCTTGTTTCATTGGTCCTTACATGAATTTTTTTAAGTTGGTTTTATACATGTGGCACTGTTCAATATCTAATTATATTTGTTATAAGATATTATTATTAGACCTATCATATATTTTATTTTTAACACTATATTCTTTACCCAGTCCCTTAGGAACTTTCAAGAATTAGAAGTGTGTATAATAATGATATTTCAACCACTATTGTTTTTGTTGTGTCCCAGCTGGCCTGATGAGCTCTGGATTGAGCAAAACATGTTGTCAGCAAAGGATATGATGAATGCATTGTGGTTGAAATGGTATTGTTATAATCTTTTAATTCTTGAAATTCTTAGGGTGTAGACAAAGAACATAGTGTTCAAAAATATATATAATAGGCCTAATACTAATGTTTTCATGTTAAATATAATTAATTATAACCATGCTTTGTAAGTTTGGAAAAGGCATTCACACCATAACAAACATTCAATATTGTTTACTTTCAACTAAAGCTATAAAAGTTATTCTTTAATTAAGCTTTCTACAATTAGCCAAGATTACTTGAAGATGTTCCAAGTATGTTCCCAAATTATTTTATAATTTCAATAGAAATTCCTCCCATTAAAAATTAAATACACTAAATTATGTACATCATGCCAGTAGATCATTACAGATTATTGAGTTGCTAGTAAATTGTCTTCACCAAAAGGAAACTTCAATGGTTATAGTATTAAACAGTACTTTATCAAGTATATCTTGCCATTCTTATTAAGGATTACTGACAGATACACAATATCACAATTGTTAAACAGATAGAATTGTTTATGTACCTTAAAATCACAGCTGTGAAGAAACTCATCAATAAGTGGTTTCGTTCTTGTCTCTATTTCATCTTCAGACATGTCTTTACCCTTAAGTAACATCTTTGGTTCTTCTGAAAACAATAATAGAATTTAAACTTTTCTTTACAACAAATATTACTCCTAATATGAATATCAAGAAATTAAATTTCAAGTATTGTTTACAATAAAGTGCTAAATATATTTGTAGACATAACATTAGAAAGAAGTTTGCTTGAAGTTTACACAAGTGAAAATGATAATTCCATTGTCTAACAAACAAAATATTAACCCTTTTGCAGCAGACTCCTGCAATTTGTAGAAAATGAGTCACGGATTTCACTTGTACAACAATATATATAGTAAGTTTGAGATTTCTTAACGTATTCTCTCAAAAACTAGTAAGATTTCATTTGAGATCATAAGTATCTTGTAGTTATTCACATTCAAACTATTAACAAAATGAGTGCAATGTTGATTTTCGTATTAAGTGTAAAAAATACTTTTCTTCATCTTATAGTTTTCATATTTCATTTGCACAATCTCTAGAATCTCCTAATAGGATATCAAAAGCATTTTTAAGGTAAATTTTTATATTTTATTTTTCATTTTCTCTATCATATCACTAACTCTAGCTATTATCATCAACATACAATGGAACAAAATAATTAAAATTAGGAAAGAGAAAAAAAATACAAAACTTATAATTTTTTAGAATATCTTTAAAGTTTCCTTTTGTTATATTCATAATTTCATCTCTTTTCTTTTTCACATATAGTTAATTTTAATGTTTAATTTTTCTTTCTTGTCTTTTACAAGTTATTATTCATCTCAACACACGTCAACAGTGCCCTTGAGGCATATTACAGTTTCTTTGGGAGACGTATTCAATTCTTTGGCAAAATTTTCTTTCAGCATGTAATATCGTAGGCCTTGAGAACAGATGTGAAGTATGATGTATATTGAAAAAGCACTTAAACATTTTAAGAATATAATAGTAAGACCTAAAAATAATTTAAACTGTATCTGTAACTATAACACATTTAGGTAAGAAACAACTATAAGTGCTATAGTTCATCAAGCAGCCAACAATACTATAGTCAATTTCATGTACTCTATGACAAAGACTTGATGCCAATTTCAAAATAATCGTTGTTAGTTTGTACTGTAACATGAGCTCTTTTTAATTATTATATACACGTGTATGTAATGTCTAAATGGAAAGGATAAAGCTCAAACAAATCTGTTAAAGGTGGGCATAGCACCTCTCAGGGATTGAAAAAATCATTCAGAGTACTTTGAAAGGAACGAGTCAAAAGGTTATGTAAGCATCTTAGTGGCTAGACATACCTCTACTCTATTACCATTGTATTACTGAAGATACAGAGAGCTAAAGCAAAGAACTCTTCATAGCTAATTGGTCACGTGACAATACATCTGAATTTTTAAGTAGTTTTTTTTAAAGGTTTATTTTGTAATAAAGGACTTAAAACTCGAATAAAATAAAACTTTGAATCATAACACATATAATATTAAATTCATTCAATACATTAATATTAAGGTTGCTTAATTAAATTTTTCATGTAACACAGTGTAACAGAAATGCATTTGAATGGGCTCTCATTGCAAAAAGGTTAAGTTATCAAACTATAATGCTATACCAATTTCCAATTTCATTCTGATCATAACAGAAATATTATGTTTAAAGTGTTTCAGTAGCATCTTTTTCTTACTTTAGTATTATGCAGTCTTAAAAAAAAGTAGCATGGTAAAGTATATAGAATATGATTCTGTTCAGGAATGAATGTCATCTTCTTGTTTTACACAGGAACAAAATACCATTTTCTGAACATAAAATAACATAAAATGCAGCACATATTTTAATCAAGAGAGGAAACAAAGTGTATTTTGAGAAGCTATTTTAATTGAACCACAAGAAGGACAAAGCAAATTTGTATAGAATATAGATTCACGAAGTACATTTTGTACTAGGTAGAGCTAAATTTCACCTGTTCTTTCCTTTTGGTCTTGAGATACAGGTTTTGATTCAAGAAATCCTTCACCACCACCAGGAAGAAAACACATTACGGCAGCTGCTGCTTTTTCCTGGTATTTTGCTAATGACTGGGATGGTGTCTTTCTTACAGCTGGACCTCCACGATTCTGACTGGATTCTCGACTTGAAGCAGCAGACCTTAGATAAATAAACTCATTGAGGATGAATTAACTTTTATAGCTGACTGATTAAATAACAGGCTGTTTGAATCCAGTTTTCAAGAGATTTAGCATTTCAAAACACTTTACAAATACATAACATTAAATATTGATGTTCAACTCCTAACATTCTTACACTATTATAATAATGTTTGATAGAATGATTTCATTTAAGTTTAAAAATTTCTCAAAAACATTAATGTATAATTTTTTAGCATACAACAAAATTCTCATAGCTCCTTTTCCCACATGGATCAAAAGGTTGAGGTTTAAAAGTGTAAGAAACAAATTAAAAACAAATGTATTGTGTTAAAGATACAAGTACTAGTGGGATCAGCAGAATGAAACTTTCAAATTAATTCTGATATAATTTCTAAAATGAATTCATGTTGTGTCCACAAGTTAGCTGGTTTAAGGTAACTTAACTGCTTGAGTGAATCAATTAAACACACCTGTTGTATGGTTTGTCTTATTGATATTGTTTGAAACTTAAATATGAATTTTCTACAGATTATTTAGTTTCTGTCCAAAACAAATATTTTATAAATGATACCTGTATGAATTCTCAGCTTTGGAAAGTTGAAAAGATTCTTTTTTAACCCGTTGACTACCGGCTACTAACTTTCTTATTAGCCAATGCAAGTCTTGCTATTTGTCATTCCAACAATAAAACTACTGGTTAAAAAGTTTTAAAACTTTGTAATGACTTTAATAAATGTGTGTAGTTTAAGAAACGTAAAGCCTGTTACTTCTGATAAGTTGAGTTTTTTGCATTATGATCTATAATATCTTGGAAAATTATGTTAGGAAATGGTATTTATAAGAAATG